AAAAAAAGAAGAGAAAGATGTGGCAGTCGGCTTCAATCCTGCGGGGCAGCTGGACTCAGTCCAGCTGGGTCACTGGGTTGGAATCTCCTCACAGGCACACAGCAATGCCTGCGGAGCATCAACTGGGCATCTCTGCGTGATGGAATTTGCTCTCACGGGCAGGTGTTGTCAATGCAGAGGCCAGTGGGCCAGGAGAGAGGGACTAAAGGCCACAAGGACCAACCTGAGCCCCAGAATGCCTGCCCTGAAGAATCCTCAGGTCTCAGGCTGCCTGGGGGCTGCCCACACCGCCTCCTCCCACAGGGAACGTCCCTTCTCTGACAGGTAAGCTGTCTGGCACCGGTCCCTGTCTCTGCAGGTTTTACTGTGGGTAGACTTTCCGCACTCAGATGAGTGAACTGAGGCTCAGAGAAGCTAAGAGACCTCAATGTGCAAAGAGAACCGTTACAGAGTGGACGCTGCCAGACAGCGACCCTGCGGGGCCCCGCAGCCGCCCCAGAGTTTCCAAGGCGCTAATTCTTCCGGAAGCTGACTGCAGTGGTTGGTGGGCTCAAACCAGTGACTTCTGTTCAGAGCCCAGCATTTAACCCACTGTGCCACCAGAGCTCTCAGCGTGACGGGGGTCAGTATGAGCCCTTCCTGCTGCGTGACCATGTGCTGACCCCTCATTACAGTGATAAGGAGTGCGGGTCAGGGCAAACATGACCCCCCTGCACCAGGCCAAAGGACCCGTGAGAACTGGGCGGGGAGTGTGCCTCTCATCCTGAGGCCAGGACAGCAGCGATGGGGGGAACCTCTCTGGCTCGAGGGCACAGGGCACTCACCAGGGTTGACCTCCAGGTAGCGGCCCACGCCGTAGGCATCCACAATGCCCTGGAAGCTGGCCGTGAAGCGGTTGGTGCGGATGAGCGTGGGGGGCATGTCCTTGCAGGGAATGCGGTGAACCACGGCACTCACGCCTGCTTCACTCTGGGAGCAGACAGACAGACCAAGGGTGCGGCCAGCCTCTATCGTCAGCAAACCTCAGGCTTCCTCACCCCCAGCCAAGCCCAGCAGAGTGCTGTGGGCCTTGAACTGCCCACCTGTGAAATGGGACCATCATCCCCAAGTTACAGAGTTGGGAAAAACCATGCCTTCCAGTCAGTTCAGACTCACTGTCCTGCAGGACACAGAACTGCCTGAAGAGGGCGAACTGCCTCCCATGGGGTTAGTGGGTCCGAATTGCTGACCTTTGGTTCAGCAGCCCATTGCCTACCCACTGCCCTGCTAGAGCTCAGGAGGCTGAGAAAGGGTAAAAAAAGATCTACAAGGAGATGAAGGAACGGTCTGCTGCACATCGTCCAGGCGGCCAAGAGGGGGCGCCCCGTGCTCACAGGTGAGCACACACCACCTTCAGCTGAGAACCCCCCCTGTGCATTTGGTTATCACTTTCCATTCACAGGTGAGGAGTTAGCTGACCAACGTCACGTGGCCAGCACCTGAGGCCCAGTTTCTGGCTTCTTCAACCGCCCCGTGCAGCCTCCAGGTGTGAGGGGCAGCCTCCAGGGCTCAGAGAAGTCAGAGGTTGCTGGGTGGGACAATCAGGGCTGACTCCCTGGAGGAGGTGGTATGGGGTGGGTCATGGTGGATGCGCAGGGACAAATGTGAGGTGGTGATGGGCACCTGGCAGGTGGGGTGGCGGAGAGTCCAGGACTCACCGAGCTGTCCTGCAGGGCCCGCTGCAGCGTGGGCAGGTCGTGTGTGGGGCACCACACCTCAGCGATGAGGCACTTGTGCGTGGTGCTCACGCTGCACTGGTTGAGGGCCAGGTAAACGGCCTTCATCTTGCGAATCTGCACTAGCCAGGGGGGCAGCAGCCGCTGTACCCGGCCCAGAACCTGGCTCAGGAACCGCTCTGTCTCGTCCAGCACCTGGGGGCCAGAGTGGGTGGTCAGGAGGAGCTGGGCAACAAGGGCAGGCGGAGGTCCAGCCCGGTCGGGGGCCCACCTCCCGCAGCTCCTGGCTCTGCTGCTGCAGCTGCTGCAGGACCCTGAGGCGGGCTTCCTTCTGCTCCTCGAAGGGGAAGACGTGGCAGTGGAAGCTGGCGAGACACAGGGTGACGTGAGGGGCCAGAGGGCGGGGGGAGGTTGCTGGGAGACTGAGAGGTAGTGAGGAGATGGCACACTTGGTTAAGGAAGCTGCCTGTGGCCAGCAGGGGTCGGAGCGCAGGCCGCCCCCAAGAGGCCGGGGCTGGCTGGACAGGGCTCTGGGTACCCCCAAGGGGCTGTGTGAGGCTCACCAGTCAGTGATCTTGCGGATCTTATGCCCAATCTGCTCGCCCCAGTAGGAGATGAGGAAGGTCATCCAGGTGGTAGGCTCACCCTGCCGGAACCAGGCTCAGTTTACCCTGGAGTCCTGGGTACCCACCCACTCCCCCAGCCTGGTCCCCAATGAATCGTCCTGGCCTGACCCCCTGCCCGCTCACCCCAGCCAGGTTCTCCGACATCACACCTGCTGGGTCTCTCACCCAGTCCCCCTGCCCAGCCCCACACCCACCGTCACGGGGTCCTCCAGCGGCTGCTCGGTCTCCTGGAAGCTGGCGATGAGGAAGCCCCGGCAGACCCTCCAGAGCAGGCGCTCCAGGGCGGCGGCCTTGCCCGGCTCCACGGCTCCAGCCACGAAGCTGCAGAAGGCGTGGACTGGGCAGAGGCTGCTCCCCACCTCCCTTCTCGTCCCACCCAGGTCACCAGCCCTGGTGGGAGCCCCCAGTCCCAGACAGGATCAGAGAGAAGCTCCCAGAGAAAGAGACTCGGGAGACAGGGCAGCTGAGAGCAGGACTGGGGGACGGAGGAACAATGGACAAAGAGCCCAGCTCAACAGCTTGTCCACAGGGGCCCAGGAAGCTGCCCACTCACTTGACCCTCAGGTTCTGGTGTGGCCCCCCAGAGGCCTGGAGCAGGGGTTCCCTCTCTGACAGCCCATCAGGCTGGGCAGCTTCGACCTGGGATGGGGAGGCCTGTGAGCTGGGGCCCAGGTGCCTGTCCCCCCCACCCCGTGCCTGGGCAGGTGCTGACCGGGGGGCCGTGGGCCTGGCTCAGCACGGCCGCGTGGAGCTGCAGCTGGTGCAGCTGGGCCCGCAGGGCCTGCTGGTTGGCCCGCACTTCCCGCAGCTCCTGGGCCAGCCGGTCCGTCTCCTCCTGGATGCGCAGCAGGTCGCGGGGTGGGGGCGCGGGCAGCCTCCCCTCGGGCATGGGCAGCACCAGCCCAGCCCTCCGCACCTCCTCCTGCAGGAAGGCTACGGCAGAGCGGCCGGGTCAGGGGGCCCCACCATCAGGTTACCGAGCCTTGAATCTTAACCAGAAGACAGTGTCCGTTTCCCTGAAGAGTGGCTGGTGGGCAGCATGGCCCTCAGGAAACCACGCACACCACAGACTCCCCTTCAATCACCTTCACAGCTGACCCTCTGGGGGGGATTCTGAGGCTGCCAACCGCTGGGGGGAGGGGGATTGCCTGTCTTTCTCCCTCAAAGCCGCTGGTGGATTTGAACCACCAGAGAGGCACCACTTTGGGGGAACTCTCTGTGATTGCGCCCCGGATCCTTAAGCCAGGCTGCTGCGGTTAGGTGCCGGGGGTCGGCTCTACTCACAGAGGCCCTTCAAATGGAGGATGAAGCCCCTCCTGACCATGCACCATCCCATCCCTGGTGGGCTTCATGACAGGAAGCTGTGCCCTGTCCCCCACCCTGCAGGCGGCAGGGAAGATGGGGCTGCTTCAGGACGGGGTTCCCTCCTGCTCGAGTTTAAGAAGGTCCTGCCTGTTGGGCACCAATCCTCAGTCCTGGCCCCCATGCCCACCCCAGTCCCTGCAGTGCAGAAAGCCCTGCTCCAGTCTCTTTTAGAGAAGCTCTGTGGCTCCCAGAGCCCCCAGGACGAAGACCAGACCCTTCCTCAGTATTCAAGGCCTCTTCCAGGCTCCCAGGACTGCCCATTGCCTGAGAGACCACAGACCCCTCACTGTCTTGGCTGGACCTGGGTCTGCCTTCTCCGTGCCTTCCTGTTGGATAACTAGGACTAAACTCAGAGCACCTCCTCCAGGAAGCCTGCCTGGGATGCAAGCCCGGGGCCAACTCACTGAAGGTTTTCTCCAGCTCCTCACAGCGCCGGACGTCCACCACGAAGCGTCTCTGGAAGGCGCTCACCGACGCATTGAGCTGTGATTGTCACAGGGTGGGGTCAGTGTGCCCAGGAAGGGGCCAGCAGGGCCACCCCAGGGCTGGAAATGCTGGAAGAGTCAGACGCTGGAAGAGTGACCAGCCCCATGTGCTCAGGGAAGGTAGGAGCCAGGAGACCAGGTTGGCCACAGCCAGGTCTGGTGGCATTAGCCACGAGAAGGTCTGGCCTCCTAAGAACAGAGGATGTACGACAGGGGGTGGCTGTGCTCAAGCAGGCTGGGGGCTGTCTCAGGAGGTCAGCCCAGCTTACAGGAACCTCGTGTGTGCAGAGCGGAAGCACTCCACCAGGTTTTCCAGGCCAGGACCTTTCGGAAGCACATCACAGAGTCTGCCTTTAAGGAGCCTCTGGGTGGGTTCAAACTGCCAACCTCTGGGCTGGTAATGGAGTAATGAACCATGTGGATCCCACCAGGGGCTCTGTTACGGGGAGGGTAGCCCAGGATAAGGGCCCCCTGCGAAGCCTGGCCCCCACTCACGTCTCTGAACTCCACGAGGCCCAGCTCGCCAAGCTGGCTCACGCAGGTGTAGGCGGCAGCCGTGGGCAGGAAAAGCTGGGTCAGCACCACCTCCTCGCTCCGGAACATGGAGCCCATGGTCCTGCCGGGCTGGTGGAGAGGGGGTCAGTCAGAGGGTTCTAGGCCCGGCTGGGTGGGTGGGTAAGGGGCCTGGCCGGGGTGATCCACTGGGAACCAGGCTGGCCAAGCACCTCGTATACTGGTGTGCTCCCAGGAGGCCCAGAACCTCATCCGACAGTGGGGGAAACCGAGGCCCAGGATGACCCAATGGGATGCTGCAGCCAACCAAAAGTAAGGAAAGCAGCTGGAAGTGGGGCCCAGGCTGACCCACCCCATGGCCTGACCCCAGCCTGATCTCATTCTATCTGCCTGATAGGGTGCCTGGCCCCAGATACCCTGACCCCACACACTCCATGCCAGCCCTCCTCATCTAAGCCTCTGGGCATGCGAGGCCACCTCTCCAGCACTCCTTCACCCTGGTCCTACTAATCCTTGGGAGCTCGGGTGCGATGAGTTGCTTAAATAGGGCCCTTCTAGCCATGACTATGCAACTCCCATAAAAAGATAGAGTGACGGGGAGGGGTGGGCAGGGAGAAAAGCGCGGCAATGAATGAATGGAAATCCAAAACCTCTGTAAATGTCTATTAAAATTAATAATAAAAAAATATCACAACCTGAAAACAGAAAAACAAAACACGCCACATTCCAAACTCACTATTGACTAACGACAATCAAGTGCATAGAGTGACACTATGCAAATAAGGTTCTGTGGCCCACTAACAGGATTGGACAGTTTTGTTAACGGAAGCCTTTCAGGGGTTGTTGTTAAGTGCCATCAAGTGAAGTATGATAGCAACCTATGAATAACAGACCTGAACCCTGTTCTATCCGGTGCCATCCTCATCATCTCTGACAGGCTTGAGACCCGTGCTGCAGTCACTGTGTCAATTTATCTGGTTAAGGACCTTCCTCTCGTCCACCAAGCATCCAGCTGTCCAAGCATGATGTCCCCCTCAAAGGGACATCATTGCAGGGGTGGGGCCATCTAAACACTACATGGAACCTTTTTTGGTGATTAGCCAGTTTTGCTAGCTCAGTAAACTTACAGGAACCCAACCCAGAGAGAAAGAAAAGGAAGAGTTGGGAGTGGGGTCCAGGTCCCTTTTGGACCTGGAGTCCTTGTGCTGAGAACTTCCTAGACTCGAGACAGAGCTGCAATGTGCTGAAGATGGCACTAGATGGCAGCAGTCCAGGATCAGCAGGCAAAGCTCACCAATCCACAGAGCAGACAGGTGCTTCTTCTGTGCACTCGTCTGCAGAGCTAAGGAACTTTGTAGCTCTGGCCTGCAGACCAGGACCAGGCTGGGGACAAAAGCTGTTAACTAGAAGAGCAGACTGCCAGTGGGCACAGACAAGAAGCTGTCCTTAAGAGAACTGTCTCCTGAGTCATCTCTGATCCTGAGTCATCAACTGTTACTTCCCTAATAAACCCTTAGTCCTAACTCCAGGCTGTGAGTTCTGTGAAGCCATTGCAACCACTTATCAGACTCAGAAAAGCAGATAGTACCTGGGGGAGGAATGGCTGGTGGCAGAAGCCTAAGTAGGTTGAGGAAATTAGGTGTGTCTGGAGGTGCTGACAGCTGTAGGCTGAGGGTGATTCTCTCTCCTGAAATTAGAGGTCTGATGTTGCATCTTTCTTGCCAATTCCAGACCAGGGCCCCCTCCAGCCAAGCCAAGCTTGGATCTGGAGACTCAGCCTCTGTCCCTAGGGAAGCTGGGAGTGGGTTTTCCCCTGGGGCCATGAGGAGGGATGGGAGGTTGCTCACAAGGAGGTCCTTCCCTGTGAAGCAGCCTCCTAGGTGGTGAAATGGTGAAAGTGAAAGTGTGAATGGGCAGGAAGGCCTGGCTGGCTTGCTCAAACACTGGTGGGGGGTGGGGCAGCAACGGCCTGCCTGCCGTGCTGGGCTTGCCTGCCATGCTCTGAGGGACCTGCCTGCCGCTGTGTGCTAGACCAAGCTGCTCCCACTGTCTCCACTCAGTTCCCTGAGCTCTCAAACTGAAGCAGGAGCAGAAGGGTGGGCTCTTGAGGGTAGCTGGAGCCACAGTGTCCTGCCTGCTGTCTGGGTCAGGCAGGGACTGCCCAGCTGGTCACTTCCTCCCCTGGGCCTGGGTTACTTCACTGTAAACAGAACAACAGTCCATCCCCAGCCACAACAGGAGAATGGGGAGGCTGCCAGAGGCATGGTCACGTCAGGCAAGGGTGGGCATCTGGGCCCAGGGACTACCAATCCAGGACAAGGCTGGGCTACAGGACTGAGAGTCTGGGCTCGAGGTCCTGGTGAAGCAGGAGTGCATGTGACCTTGAGCGAGTCGCCAGCCCTCTCTGAATCTCTGCTTCCTTTTTAGGTAAATGGGGCTGGAGCCCCCAAGTGACCCCTTCACCAGTGCAGCCTCACTTGGCCACTAAGAGAAATCCTGTCTGGGGGTGGGGAGGGGTGGAACACTGCCACTCCATTTGACAGCTAAGGCGACTGAGACCTGAGAGGTCATCTGGTCAGCAGATAACCAACCAGGCCATGCAGGAGCCAGGCCCAGGCCTGCAGGTTTGGGAGCCCCAGGCACCGGAAATGCTGGGAAGAGGGGTTGTTCCTCCGGGGATGCTGCAAGGCAGGGCCCAGTGGAGGGGTTGGGGAGTAGGTGAGGCTCCTCACTGAGCACTGGGCAGGTTGCCAGGGTCCCAGGCATCTCCAAAGGTGGGACAACCTATGGTGGGTATGGATCACGTAAGGGCCTGGTCCTCCACAGACTTCTCCCCTGGAATCTGATGTTCCCTGCCTCACTGCCCCTTTTTCCTCCCCTCCTCCCTATCTGAGCCAGGGTGGGGGGGCAATCTCAGCCAACCCTCACTGAGCAAACAAAGGCACTGTGTTCCTGGCGGTTGTAGGTTGTAAATGGTTTGCACTCAACTGCTAACCTGAAGGTTGAAGGTTCAAATCCACTTGGCAGCACTGCAGAAGAAAGGCCTGGCAGTCGGCTTCTGAAAGATGGCCACTGGTACAGCTGCGGGGCAGTTCCACTCTGTAACATATGAGATGGCTTGACCCAGTGGGAACAGGGGAGGGTGCATCCTTCCTGAGGTGGCCAAGGTCCAGCTGCAGCCCCCTCCCTCCATGTCCCTCTCTTCTCAGGCTGAGTCTAGCTCTCCTTCCTCCAGTCCAGTGCCCTCCTCCCAGGCTCTGCCTCCTGGACCACAAGATGGGCTGCAGGAAAGGTCTCGGGTGTCTGGAGTCTGAATGACCCAAGCCTGCCTTTGGCTCTGCCACTTTCTATTGTATGGGCCTCCCTTTCCTCATCTGTAAAATGGGTCCCTCCTTCCGAGGAAATTGTACCAGGAGAGCCCAGTGTCCCAGGCTCGCGGAGCTGGGCTCAGTATTTGTTAACTCCCATCCTCTTCCTCCTCAACATTTCCTCCTTGACCCTGGCGAGGCCTGGTACTCCCGCGGCAGCGGCGGGAGACGGAGCTTACATCACTGGCCCAAAGGGATGGGGGCCCCTGGCTCTGCTTTCCTGGGGGTGGGGGAAGGAGAGTGGCCCCAGAGCACGGCCTCTGCAGATCCCGCCCAGGCCGCTCACCTCCGCAGGCTGCACGCGTGCTGCTCCGCTGCTCCGCTCCAAGATGCCGCTGCTCGGCGCCCGGCTCGGCAGGAGGTGGACCCGGGTTCCCGGCAGCAGCGGCGCCCACGCATCAGCTCCTGTCCCGGCAGGCGCGGCCGGACAGGGCGGGGCTAGCGCCGCCCCGCCCACGGCCCGTCCAGTCAGGGGCTCGCTTCCCAGCCCGAGTCCCGCCCACCCCGGCCTGGCCCCACCCACGGCCCGCCCCATCCAGTCAGGGGCTCGCTTCCCAACCCAAGTCCCGCCCACCCCGGCCTGGCCCCACCCCCAAGGCCCGCAGGCCCTGTCCTACCCGGGGCCCCAGGGCTTGAGAGGTGGCTGCGCTGTGACCCTGGGTGGCCCCTCAGTCTCTTGACCTTTGTGGCTGATGGCATGGAAGCCCTTTCTAGACCTCGAGGTGCCCGAGGGAGAGGAGCCGTGAAGATAAGAGTCGAGGCAATTGGTCTGCTCCAATCTTGCACATCTCAGAGCCTGCATGGGGTGCCCAGTTCGGGATCAGCTTCTGGTTAGGGGAAAGGCAAGGAACACCCCAACACTCAGGCTGACTGATGAGCCTGGGGTCCAGCACTCACCATCTTTTAAAAAAGTTTTCTTTTAATCTTTTATTTATTTTTTCCTTTGTGTACCATCAAATCAGATCCAACTGGCACAAGAGATTTTTTTCCTCCTTATCTGGTGGATTTGAACTGTGTGCCTTCGGGATTGCAACACAGCTTCTCACCACTAGGCCACCAGCTCTCCAGCTGCCAAATCTAGGAGCCCCCTCTCACCTGGAAATCCATATTCTGTCCTTGTTAGGCTGGGAAGCCGGTGGCAGGACCCAAGGCCAGGGGCTTAGACCCCATGCTCTGTGGCTCTGGACTCGGACTGGCCTTTGTCCCTTCACTGATATCAGTTGCCCGCCTGCATCAAGCTTGTCAGTGACCTGGCTACATGGTTCACCTGGACAGGCACTGGAACGGAGGGGCTCAGCCACATTGTGGCTGGCCAGTGCCCACTGAAGAACCTATGTGGTCAGCAAGGGCTTCTGGGAAGCCACAAAGCTGAGGGTGGTGACTGAGTCACACACAGCCAAGGAGCAGAGTCCTCTGCAAATGGGGGCATATACTCAAGACAGCTGGCACTGACTGAAGGGGGTCCCACAGGGGCTCTCAGTCCAGTGGACATGCAGACATCTGAACTCTATTGTGATTATAAATGATGTTGCACTTCTCACCCACAAGCCTGAGTGACCGCTCCGGACACCCCAGGGGAGGTGCAAACACTTAAGGTCCTCAAACCTTGCCTGGTGGTGGGGAGGCCTGGGCACTTCTGCTCCAGGAGAGGACAGACCCTGGCCAAGGTGATGGCTGACATCACTGGACACCCTGTTGTACCTTCCTGCGGCTGGCCTTCCTTCTCAGAGCCTT